AACACGCTGAGGCCCAGCAAGTCTAGTAATTAGCCCAGCGCCCCACAGCCAGCCACCAACAGACCCCGGCAGTCTGGTTCCAGATCCCAAGCTGTGGCTAACCGCTTAGAAGCTAGAAGCTCAGGTCCAGGAGCACAGATGCATGAACAAACATGACGTGAGAGGGCTGACCCTCTACTGTGAGAGACAGGTAGCGGGAGGAGCACAGAAGATCATTTCAATAGCAAGGCAGGGCCGGGTGGGAGGGGCAGATGGGAGGTGCAAGGCTGCAATCCCAGAGGCTGAGGCAGGAGGGTCACAAGTTGGTGGCCAGCCTCAGCAACTTAGCCAGGCTTCGTGGTAAAATGCCCCTGGGTTGGTCCCCAGTACCAAAAACACAAGGGGGTGGGCAGGAGCAAGAGGGAGGGGCACGTAGGGGAAGGAGGCAGTGATGGAGAAAAGGTCAGGAAAGGCTTCTCCAAGGCGTGGCGTCTGAGTGGAGAGGAGACCAGAAGGATGAGAAGAGACCAGTCAGACAAAACCAGTGAGCTGGCGGTGAGAGGAACAGCCACCGCATAGGCCCTGGGGCAGGGAAGGCAGGTTTTCTAGCCACAGAAATAAGTGCAATGGTAGGAGAATGAAGAGGAGCTTGGAGATGAAGGGGTGTCAGTGGGGTAAGAGCGCAGACGTCTACAAAGGCAGCAAGCACATCCCCGCGGGCTGGGCCTCCTGACGACAGCTCCATTAACTTTCCCAATGACTGACGTCTCTAACATATTTCTCAGATGGCCTCATAAAGGCACGGGCACAAAATCCTTCCACCAGCACCCAAGGCAGAGGAAGTGCTGAGATTCCAACCTTCGCCAGTCCCCAAGCCTTTGGCTGCAAAGCCAACCCAAGCCTCCACGCTCATTCCCCAATTCCTCCCAGCTCTCAGAGGACGAGGCTCTAAAATGAGGGAAACTGGGCTTCAATATTGGCTTAGTCCCTCACCGACCCCGGGTGAGCGAGCCACCCTCCATTTCCTCACCTGTCTAAGAAGAGACGGGCACGGTGAGAGCAAGAATTAAACGGGTTGATGCCCAGGCTGGGTACCTTGAGCACTCGGCGAGGCTCAGCTGTCATCGCGCTGCTGTATGCACTCCAACACAGGTGTTCCCCCATGTGCACCCACGTGGGGATCGACAGGGACCTGTCTCCAGAACTCCACATTCACTTTCCATGACTTGTCATTTAGACCTTCCTTCATGCTGAGGAGTCAATTGCACGGCAATCCAAATGGGCATTGCTTCTAATAACAATAACAAAAATAACCACAGCCAACACGTATCCATGTCTACTACAGGCCTCGCCACATCCTAGGAGGGACGTGCTGTCATCGTCCCCAATGACAGGAGAGGAAAGCAAGTATGTGAAGGTCACACAGAGTCAGGATTTAAAGCCAAGCCCTCTGGCCCCAGAGTCTGCCCTCTTAAGCAAGAGATTTACTCTTCAAGGCAGCAAACATTTATTGAGCACCTACTGCATTACCGACTATGTTAGGAACACAGGAACAGAGATTATGTGGTATAGTTGATGGTACTGGGTTGGATGATGATTTCCCACAAAGATCATGCCAATCTAGGACCTGGGACTGTGACCTCAGTTGGAACAGGGTCTTTGCAGATATGATAAAGATGAAACGAGGTCAGACGGGATGAGGGTGGATCTTAAGTCCACCGACTGGTATCTTTATTAGAAGAGGGAGATGTGGACACTGTCACACCAGAACATCACGTGACGACCAAGCAGAGACTGGAGTCTGCAAGACAAGACTTCTAGCCTGCAGCAGAAGCTAGGAGAGAGGCAAGGACAGAGGCACATACAGATTCTTCCTTAGAGATTCTAGAAGGGACCACCCACTGTGGACATCTTGATTTGGACCTCCTGCATTCTGAAAGGCTGGATTCGCGTTTTTTTCTTTTTTCTTTTGGTACTGAGGATTGACCCAAGGTGCTTTACCACGGAGCTACATCCCCAGCCCTCTTCTTTTTTTAATTTTGAGACAGGGTCTCCCTAAGTGGTTTGGGGCCTAAGTGGCTGAGGTTGACCTTGAACTTCAGATCCTCCTGACTCAGCCTCCCAAGTTGCTGGGATGACCGGCCTGGCTGGGTTAATGCTGTTTTAAGCCAGCCAACCTGTAGTAATTAGCACCTGCAGTCCTAGGAATACAACACTCTAATGAAAAGGAACAACAGGAAAGACACTTTCTCAAGTCACACCTCAGCCCTGTTTGGCACAAGAAAGAGTTCATGGTTCCCCACGGGCCAGGAGCAGGCAGGGGAAGAAGCCAGCGACAAATCACTCCGCGGCCTCACAGGAAGTTCAGCTTTCCTGTTAGCAATACGCACAGAATGAAAACACATTGACCTCAGAGGCCCGGGGGCAGCACACCTGCCACTGTCACGGGCCCCGACGGACAGAATACACTCACAAAGGAAGGTACATAGGAAAGCCCACCAAACTGGCCCTGACTCTGAGACACCCTTTCTGCTCAGGACGAGTGTGCTGGTGGGGACAGCTCAGGAGGACAATGTCCACCCTCCCAGATCGCAACTGAAATAACGGGCCTGGTTCTCTCTCCACGAACCTGCTGGAAACGGAAAGTTTCAGAAGTGCTTACACATTCGGCAACCCAGGTCCCTGAGGCTGGTAAACGTGGTCATCTGGGCTGACCGTCTCCCCAGAAGAGAAGCTCCTACCTGCAACACTGGAGGTGACGTTTCAGCTCATTTATTGATGATCAGCTGTTTGTCAACTGCTTCATCCGTGGGAGGTTCTGTGCTCTTGCTAGGGACCTAAGGGGGTGGGGGGTGGGGGATGAGGGGGGATGACACACTACTTTCCCTCCTGAAGCCCAGAACTGGAAGTTTTCTGCAGCTCCCATTCCATATGACAACTGGGAGGCTTCGCACCGCAGCGGGAGGCCAGGGGTCTGCAATCAAGACATGAGCGGGGCTGGTCCCTCTGGGGACGGAGGGAGACTCAACGCTCAGCTCCCCTGGCTTCCCGTGTTGCAGGCAGCCCTGGGTAGACCCCCACGTCCCTGCCAGCTCCGTCCCCCCTTCACGGGATCTTCTCCGGTGTCCGCTCCTCTTCTTATCAGGGCCCTAGGATTTTGGTCCCACCCCCTAGATTCATTATGATATCGTTAAGGTCTTTCACTAATTGTATCCACAAAGATGACCCTGTTTCCAAATGAGGTCACATTCGGGGGTCCTGGGTGGACATGGGTGGTGGGAGTGGACGCTCTTCAACCCAACACAGGCGGTCAGATGCATAAACAGTCACCAAGTTAAGTAGGTCAGGACAGGGGACACCCTTAGGTGTACCTTAGGCATCGAGGACACCTCTCCTGAGGGACCTGAGACCTAAGCAGCAGAGGATGTGGACAGTGCCCCAAAAGAACCCACCACAGAGGGGTGGGGCGGGGCCCGTCCGGGGGAGGCAAGAAGAGCCCAAGATGGGGAAGACGGAGGGATGGAGATGAAAACCAGCTGGTGAGAAGCTGTACAGAGTGTCTGATACGCACACAGGCGACGTCATCTGATAAGTGGACGCATGGACTTTATCCTTAAGACACAAAATGTCTGTGAAGGATTGGAAATAGAGGAGTGATTCTAGAAAGTTCTCCTGGGCTGAGGTGAGGAGGAGGTTGCAGGAGGAGAGAGGAAATGCCATTGTCCCTACTTATGGGGGAAAGCTCTGAGTTCAGGGACACAAGTGGTTGAACCCTGTGGAGATGTCCCATGTTCTCCTGAGCGGCCAGGCGGACGGCTGAGCCAGGGTGGGAGTTTAACCCAGTGCCGACGGGAAACAAGCCGGCCAATCAGATCCACATCCGCCCAGGGCAAAAATACAGACGTCAGAAAGCTCCATCTAGGTGGGGAAGGAAGCCAGGGGTCTGAGCAAAAATCTGCAGTGGCCGTTATGAACACTCTGGCCCACTGCTCAACAGTCTCCCCTCTGTGGTCCCTCAGAATTAATTCAGCATGACTTAAATGTTAGCCCTGAATGTCAGTCCCATCTACTTACACACACGTGTGCCCCACTGGTTCTCGGTTGCTCTTCAAAGGTCATCTTCTCCCTGTGTCCCCAGGCTGGGTTCTACATCCTGCCCTCTGGGATCCAAAAGACGCCAGATGCAGATTCATGTAAGACTCAACTGAAATTTTTTTTTTTTGGTACCAGGGATTGAACTCAGGGGCACTTAACCACTAAGCTACATCCCCAGCCCTTTTTAGGTTTTATTTTGACACAGGGTCTCACTAAATTGCTTAGGGCCTTGCTAAGTTGCTGAAGCTGGCTTTAAACTAGAGATCCTCCTGCCTCAGCCCCCCGAAGCCACTAGGATTACAGGCATGCACCGCCATGCCCAGTGTCAGTTGTAATTCTTACCTTCCTTTTAACCTGTGTCATCTGCCAGATGGTGAGTAAATGGGGGCAAGAATGTTTTATCTTGTTTACCTCTATAGCTCCTAATACGTACGTATACAATGTCATCTGATAGATGGATGGATGGATAGATGGATGGCTGGGTGGATGGATGAATGGATAGATGGATGGATAGATGGGTAAATGGGTGAGTGGATGGATTGTTGGAGGGTAGGTGGGTGGATGAGTGGACAGATGGGTAGATGGGTGGAAGGGTGGGTGGAAGGATGGGTGGATGAGTGGATGGGTGAATAGATGGGTGGATAGATAAATAGATGGGTGGGTGGATGGATGAATGGGTGAATGGGTAGATGGGTAGGTAGATGGATAGTTGGGTAGACCGATGGGTGGATGGGTGGGTGGGTGGGTAATGGGTAGATGGGTTTCTTCATGACGCTGCACTGGCTTCACCCAAATAAATCAACGCATTAATAAAAGCAACATGGACCCATCCGTGGCTCTTTTAAGGGCTTTACATTGCCCCTTCCCCTACAAGAACTGGGGTGAGTCATCCCGAGAGATGCTGGCGTGGCAGCCTCCACACTCACCTCATTCCTTCTGAAGCCATCTTATCAAGGTTGRCAGTGTCCTTCGTTTCTGCCCAGTTTGCTCCTAGGTCACCCCAGCCCATGTCATCGGCCAAAATGATCACAATATTTGGTTTCTGGCCCATCGTTTTCCCCCTGAGGCAAAAGTCCACGAAGGGATAAAGAAATCCAGARAAACTCACTCCTACCAACAAAACCTTTAGGAAAAGCCAGCCCATGGTGACAAGGGGGAGATTCCTGTTGTCTGGAACGATGGAGGGCCACCAGTGGAGACTTTTCCGAGCGYTTCCTCTCTGCCCACTTTTAATGCAGCAGGTCCCTTAGGAGTAGAGTTTTCCAGAACCTACTGGTGGCAGTGGTGGTGGATGTGATGGCTGGGGGGATGCTGGGGAGTACAGAAACGAGGCCCCCATCTGGAATCCTAATTCACAGGAGTCGGGACACTGGCAGCCCCCGACTTGGCTTGACTCACTAGGGGAGATGTTTCCCACGGAGCTTCATAAAGATGACTAGACGTGTCGGTGTCATKGGGGGCCCTTCTGTATYCAGGGATGTYAGAGCCGCAGCCCAAGCTTGGCATCTGTCTGGAACTCCATCTGGTGRCTGCAGGACAAATTCTCTCATCGGCAGAACACCTGGATGTTCTAGAAGCTGCAGTCAGCCCCCAGTGAGTTTCTGAGTYCCAGATGGTTGAGGTTTCTCTAAGGTTTCCTGAAAGAACAAAAATTGACAAGAAAACAGAATTAAAACCGCCAGTACAGCTGTGTTTTACTCAGTAGCTTAGGAAATAATCATTTTTCCACGCCAACAGATGTTTTCCCTCTTATTTGAATATTTAACTGGTTCATCAATTTCTTCCACCTGAAAAATAATGATGATGATGATATTTGCACTAGACTTATAGTTACGGGGTTGGCAGTAACGTCAGAGATGACCTCTTTCAACCCCCACGTGGTATACACGGGAAGATTGAGACCCAGTATTCTGGGTGGGAAAAGGACCAGCCCCCAACTCTACCAAATCCCAGGCCTCCCCTACTCCCACTCCCAAATGTCTCTTGATTCACAAGAGACTCCCAAATTAAATGTGACCTTAAACTCATTGTGAATTCTAGAAGGAGACCCTGATGACCCTTATGACAGGATTCTTTGAAACAGCCATGCTCTTACCTAACATTTCCTTAAGAAATCTTGATAGAAATTAATTTGGGGTGGGGGCGGAATGTAAAACACAGTAATAGAAGACAGACGGAGGGTATATGGCTAGTCATTGTAGAAATGCTTTCCATTTTGCTACATGTTTATAATTTTCATGATTAAATGTCAGAAGTTTGTTTCAAAAAATTTTTAGTGGAGGGCTGGGGACATAGCTCAGTTGGTAGAGTGCTAGCCTTGCATGCACAAGGCCCTGGGTTCAATCGCCAGCACCAGAAAACAAACAAAAACAAACAAACAAAATTGTAGTGGAAATATAGCCCTTGACATTGTAGTCATGACATGTTTATGAAGAAAATTTAGGGCTGGGGTTCTAGCTCAGTGGGAGAATATTTTGCCCAGCATGTGTGAGTCCCCACATGGAGGTACACAGGAATTAGCTTTGAATTTTATGCTTAATGAAACAGTAGATTCAAACCTACACACGGTGGGAGGCCAAGGCAGAAGGATCACAAGTTCCTGGACAACTTAGCGAGACCCCATAGCACCAGTGGGTAAGGCTGGGGCCTGGGCTCTGCATTTCTAATTAGCCTCCGAGTGGGGGCCTATGCTGCTAGTTCTTGGACACTCTTGCGATAGCAAGGTGTACTCCAAAACAGCATGACTGTGGTCCTGGAAGAAAAGGAAATAGCTTAGCCTCACTGCGGATGACTCAGCCTCAGTGACCAAACATAAACACAACATAGCAGACTGGGTTTTGAAAGTCAGGAATCGAAGACTAGACTCTCAAACGCTCAAGGCTACAAATAGAGCCAAGAAGCAAACAACTTTGCCCTTAGCTCACAGGCACTCAGTTTACAAGGTTAGTAAGGAGACACGGAGCTGAGGTGGTGGATCCAATAAAAACCTCAGCGGGACACCCAACCCAGGGAAGGAACTAAGAATCTATTTATAAGAAATAAAGATGCCACTAGAGCTGGGCTTATGTCAGTCACATGGCTATTTCCAATTGTGTATCTCTACCAGCGAACCCAATGGTCAGCCCCCATGGATAAAGATGGCTGGAAGACCTAGATAAAATCAAAAAGAATAGTACCATCTACACAYACACACACACACACACACACACACACACGTATATGTGCACACATACACACAGACAATACATACCCTGGGAACTGAACCAAGAGCACTTAACCCTGAGCCACATTCCCAATCCTTTCTATTTGTTTTATTTTGGGGCAGGGTCTCACCAAACTGCTAAGGATCTCCCGAAGTCACTTGAGGCTGTCCTCAATCTTGCAACCCTCCTGCCTCAGCCCCCGAAGAACCACTGGGATTAATTACACGCAGGTACCACTCTCTACCCAGCACTACTGACCTTAATCAAAATAAAAGGAAGCCCAAATAAACAGCCATGTCATCCGGAGAGCAGTGGATCGACTGTTCAGAAATTAAATTCTTCCACTCTCCAAAAGGCAACTTATTTCAAGTGCCATTAGATTCAACCAGTATTTGTTGACCTTTAGCCCCCCAATACGTCTCCCTTTCCAGAAGGCTCTTGAACGAGGAGGGTGCTCAACAAATACTTGTTCACCTGCTGGGTAATTCCCAGCCTCATTCTACCGACTCCCGACCACGAGCAACAGTCCTCGGCGGCTTTTCTTCTTAAAGCTGATTAGTTTTTTTAGCGTGACCTCATTCCCAGTCAATAATCCATTTCAGAGTGACCCAACGCACAAGAATTCAGGAGGAAAAAAAAATTTTTTTCACTTAAGAAAGAGGTTAAAATGAAGGTGGGAACGTAAATAGATTGTTTTTTCTTGAGTGTTTCATGATAAAACATTCCTCTGAGGATTTTCAAAGAGAATTGTTAACATGGTACTTAAATTTTTCATAGAAGGGAAATAAGCTGATTTTGCCAGTCCTACCATACTACAGGGGGAGAGATTTAATCCCTTCCCAGATTATTTATTTATTCACTTATTTAAATCAAGGGGAAAGGCACACCAGCTAGCTATTCAATGAACGCCAAGCCATGGACTTTGGTCAAGATTCAAGCTGAGACTTTGAGCTTAGTTGTGCTCAAGAAATCGGCCCCGTTTGCTGCCTTGGACTTTATCTGAGGCTACTCTCCCAACTCTCCTTATCACTCTCAGGAAGCACAGGGAAGAGCGGTCTGCTCTCCTCCCAGCGAGGGGAGCACTTGTGGGGAGCGGAGGGTCTTTGTTTTTCTGGAGGGAGGTACAGGGGATGGAACTCAGGGGTGATTTACCACTGACCTTCATCCCCAGACCTTTTATTTTGAAACAAGAGTGAGAGGATCCCGCTACATTGCTGAGGCTGGCCTCGAACTTGTAATCCTCCTGACTCGGCCTCCCTAGTTGCTAGGATGAGAGGTGTTTGTCTTTGGCAAATTAAATGTTCACCCTTTCTTCCATTGGGGTGGAAGGTGCTTGACCACCTTACTCAACACATCCCACAACCAAAGCCCATCTGTCCCACCAGAGCATAAAGGATTGTGACCAGTCCTTGCTGAATCCAAGTATCAACAACCCCCCACAGCTCCAAGCTCCCCAGGCAGAAGTACAGCAAACAGAAGTACAGCAAACAGAAGTACAGTTGCCAATCAGCTTTACCAATGATTCCCGTTCTCCCTTTCAACCTCCGTCTTATTTATTTTTTTTTTTTTTTGCAATACTGGGCATGGAACCCAGGGCATCACACATGCTACAGATGCTACATCCTCAGTCCCTGAGCTCTATTTTAAAGCAGGGCCACTAGGCATGGGAAGGTGTAACCCTTCCTTCAGTTCCTGAGCTTGCTAACGGGTAAAGGCACTAATGAGCACAGAAATGACCCACGGGCAGGCTGTCGGCAAGAAGGAACGGGATACGGCCACCTGAAGATGTGCCGAGCAGTCACCCAGAGCTGGAAGTCCTTGGCTTCCTGAGCCTTCCGCTCCATCACCTGACCCTGGCTCCCCACAGGCCTCCCTGCGGCCAAGCAGCCTCCTGCAGAACCTTGAAAACAGCTGCAACAACACGGAGCCAGCAGACCTATCTGGCAGAGGGCTCTGTTGGTTTTCCTGAAACAAAAGCTTTGGAGGAGCTGAGGCCAAAACAGACAAGGCAGCGGGGGAGCGGGAGTCTCTGGTTGCCGAATTCTGTTGTTCTACCTGCCAAATCACATGGTCTGTGTGCTGGGGGGAGCCGGGCAGGAGTCACACTGGGGCTGCCAGGAAGGGCTTCGGGCACGAGCTGCCCATGTGGCCTGAAATGATTCCCCCCATCCGTCCCGTCATGGGTGACCCAATGTGACCGACACAGGTGGGTGGCGGGTCTTCATCCACGAGTGGGTCAGAAACCCCTGCCCTCACACCACTTACTTTTTCCGTAGGGAGGAGGGGGGAATGCAATAAGTACAATGCGAGTCACGTAGAGAAAGTCAAACAGGAGGGGATCCAGGAGTGCAGAGGTGGACAGACGCCAAGTTACAGAGGGTGGCCCATGACACTGGGCAAGAACTGCATTTTGTCTAAGGATGTGCTGGAGATAAGGAAATAGGCCACGTGGGGGAAGGTACAGCAGGCAGAGAAGCCAGCGAAGGCCAAGGTCTAGTGCAGGTGAGAAGCAGCTAAGAAGCCAATGTAGAGGGTTGGGGATGTGGCTCAGTGGTTGGGGATGTGCTTGCTTGGAAAGCCTGAGGCCCTGGGTTCAATTCCCAGCACCACCAGCCGCCCCAAAAAAACAGGAGCAGCTAATGTCAAGGCCGTGGAGGGCCGAAGAGTGCACACTGGGGCCAGAGAGCAGGCAGGAGGCCTCTACTGAGATACGAAGCCACAGGAGGGTCGGCACAAGGACACAACAGTGGCCAGATGTGACTTGCATTGAAATAGAAGCCCTCACTCAGGCTGCTCTACTGAGAAGGCACACAGGAATGGCAGGGCCACAGGTAGGGAAGAAGCTAAGAAGTCCGCAGCCCCTCGCATCCGCCTCCGTGCAGGAGAGTCCCACAGCACCAGGGTGAAGCAAGCGGCAATGCCCAGAGCTCTCCCTCCCTCCAGGGCCCTCGCCAATCCAGGCAGGGACCGGTGCTCCCCTCAGCTCTGCTTCAGCCTGGCCCAGGCCTGGGCGGCATGGGAGGCCCGTTACCACCAGAGCCAGGACAAAGCGTCATTTAACATCTCCGTGAAACCAACATCCTTACGGCCCTTCCTTACGGATCTGAACATATGGGGCTGGCTCAAGGAGGCAAAGAACACTCTCYCCCCAGTACTGGGAGGTTGAACCCAGGAGCACTCTGCCACTGAGCGACATCCCCAGCCCTTTATCATTTATTTATTTAAGACAGAGCCTCGGACTTGTGAATCCTCCTCCCGTCGTGTCTCACCATGCCTGGTTGCAGGGAACATCTTTGACAGAATGGCCTCCACGCAGGCTGCAAGGTGATCATTAAAAGGCTTCTTTCTTTCTTCCTTTCAGGTGCAGCCCTCAGGTCGGACCCAGCTGTTGGGACTCTCTCTTCTGGGGACCCAGCGGTGCCAGGAAACCCATC